TTTTTCGCGTTGGAATTGTCGATTTTGCGTCCTCATAGCAATGTCTTACCTCTTCAATCGCCTGAGCGAAATTATCAAGGTTCGTTACGCTGCTAAACATTGCGTAAATAATTTGACGTGCGGCGATTCATTCGCATGAACGTCGCAGAATGGACGCCAAAGCCACGATGAGATTCTTCTAGCTATTTTCGGTCACAACGTCGCTCGTGTTACAAAAGTGTTGTCGATTTTGCGTCCTCACAGCAATGTCTTACCTCTTCAATCGGCGATGATCGACGTCGGCGATGATCGACGTCGATAATGAAAATCGGAAACGGGAACAGAACAAGCCTAAGAAGTCGGTGATGGCCATTGGTACCTATGACCAATATCTTGTATCTACTGTTTACACCGAGCCAACTTAAGTCTTTTGAGGCCTGCGATTACAGCTTATTGCAATCACCGGGTCAAAGTTTGGTCTACGGGCCACTTTTGTTTGAACGAGCAGACGACAAAAAGCAGACAAGTTCGAAAGAGCAGACGATCAGGCGGCCGTGTGAATTTGAAGACGCACTGAACACAAGGGTGGTCCGGACAACTTGGCGGTTTTGTCTCGTTCATGTTGGAACAAAAAAAAAATAAATACATCTGGCGACCAGAAAGTGTTGCCCTCACAAGCAATCGTAGTTCGACAGCGTCTGGTTTGCCCTTGTCACGGCTACTATCCACGTTCTCGGACAAACGAAGGGGGCAGAAACACATGAAAACTGATCTTCTAATGATTTCTGAAGGTTTCCAGCTGAACGTAGAAGTAAAAAAATGAAAGCCGTTTACAAATCCCTGTAACGCCGAATTGGAGCGTAGCTCTTGAGGAGGAGTAGGGAAGGGTACTGAAGGGGGTCACGCCACCTGCGGGTAGTCACGTGACCTCGGGGGTCACGTGATCTCGGGGGAGGGGGGGTCACGTGACCTCGGGGGTCACGTGACCCCCCCCCCCCCCCGGTTACGCCGACGCCGACGGCGACGCCGCTCAGGCTGGAAACGGGCCCCTAAGAGCTGCGCTCTAAAACCAAGGAGTGGAGAAAAAGAGACACACACTGCTGGTGTATGTCTCTTTTTTGTGGTTGGTTGTTGAGGTGGAGTTTAGCTCTACAGCAATACAACTTTACAGTTGAATACAAAAAAGGTCGGGATAATACAAACGCGGATGCGTTGAGTCGTATGTAGACTAAAACGCTACCGCTTTCTATTTGCTAAATGCAAGTAACGACGTAAACTAATACGGAGCACCGACTACAAGGGAATTGTATAGGGATCAAACAAAATTTGTTTTATTTGGATCTGAACGCATACATCACAGCGACTGATTCCTCCCTGGGCTATGCAGATGACTAGAAAGAACAGAGCGCTACCCCAATACACTCTATTTTTGCTTTGTTTACATGAACGCCTTAGCATAGTCCCCATGCAATTTTGCGAAACAGAATAGAGAGACACACAAGGTGACCTTGAGCGTGCGGGGGTCTGTCTTCGCTCGCTCCGCTGTCTCTGTCTGTCTGTTGCGGCCTGCTGCGTCTCGGCGGCGTTCTGGAGGTCTCTCGACCGGCCAGTTGCAAGCTGGCACCGTCCGACAGACCACTTTGCCGGCGCGGAAGTTGTTAAGTAGTGGAACCACTGACCTGCACTGCAGACCACAGGACCCGGGCACTTACCATCCGCAAGCATGCCACGGCGCGAGACTACTTCTTCATCAACTACCATCAAAAGACTCGCGCCATCCTGAACAACTGGCTGCAGCCAAATTGCTGTCGCTACCACCTCCCGCTCTACCAATCAACCGGAGCGAAGGCGGCGCAAGCCGTGACGTACATCAACGGACCGCACATAAAAAGGGGAGCGCGGGACCAGGCGCGGCGCGCGACCAGAGGAACACTCGGTCTGGTTCAGCCGAGAGCTACCATTCATCTTCTCATCTTTTTAATTATATCATCTAAAACCCTACCCTGGCTTGATGTTACTGCGTTCTCGTAGCTCCCTCCAGAACAAGAGAGTCTGGTACAGCGATGGGGGCTGTACCAGACTCTCTTGGTACAGCCCCCATCGCAGCATTTCGACAAGAAGGCAGGTTTTTTGTCTGGTTTCTCCCTAAAGAACGCGGGAATGCATGCCTCGCACCGCGACTCCTGCCCACCACTCCAGACCGGAAGTGCGACCGACGCGCCACCACCGCGGCGCCACGTAGGAGAGTTGAGTTCGTGTATATAGCAGTGTTGCGGAATGGGCACCCCCATTCCATTCCCATTCCGGGGAATTAGAGTTTTCGATAATTCAATTTCTTTCAACTCCGAGGGATGGGGACACTGGGCCCATTACCCACTCCTGGAATGGGTGAATAGTTCGATTCCATTCCTCTAATTCCTAAACGTAAATATTGGCACTTGACAGCTGCATTGCGTTGCAGGGATGGGCCGAAATAGTCAAAAATGTATTTGAAAATAAAAGTACTGGGATAGATGAAAATAGTAGCTAAAATACTGATACACAAATATTTCTGTAAAAATGTATCGCGATACGTATCGGAACTAGACATTAAAAATAGTCAAAAAGCCTCTGAGGAATACGTTTTTGGGAGGGCAGAAATATAAATACTGATAATGCAATACATTTTTCAAATTTCTTATAGACGCCAACTGAGATGAGGCTTTAAGTTTGAAGTGAAAGTTTTTTGTTTTTTTTATCGCGAAATAACTTTCCCGCAGGCTTGGCGCTTTGCCTTAAAGGTAGTGGTTCCGGACGAATAGGAGTTTTCAATGGCTTCAAAAAACGTTCCACCAAGGATTGACCGCGGACCCTTCCCTGGCATCCTGTCTGTCTGACCAGTGGAGCAAAAAGACTTCAACCTCTAAATAAACATCATCAGAACATCATCCGTTCCCTGTCCAATAAGGGCGCCCCTGTCAACACTGATCACATGAGGTCACGACGGAATGAACTAGTATTCTTGTATCTGTAGGTGTTGCCTTGAATATGAAACTTTACCCACGCTGCGGTGTGAAAGGACAATACGTACCTTCGTTGTAGGTGACGTCATTGAAGACCATGCAGGCAGTTGCATTAGGAATTTTCGAGAATAGGGTGGACTACCTTAAGCATCCTGGAGCACATGTCTTATCTTCTATTACGGTTGAAAAATCGATACGCTGGCATCCCTGTTGTGACGGTCCTACCTGCCGACCTTCCGCCTCCAACGCATGAATGGCAGTCCTCAAGTTTCGGCTAGCATCATCCAAACAGAGACCTGTGCATTGCGACCTGAGCTGGCCGGCACAGGTGTGAGCTCTCCGAGAAACAGCGCGCTCGAGACGAGTCACAGGAGTACGAAGTCTGGGTCGGCACAGCGAGGCCACGTCTAGCCTTCTTCCTGGGTATCGGGTCATCAGAGCAGCGGGTCAGGCTCACGTCAACTGATGACGTACCCTTGAGCCGTGCAGCAGGCGCAGACGCATTCGGATTTGTGTTGAACTTCACTGGTGAAAGGCACCACCGCCGCTCCCCTTCCCTCCCCCCTTTGTTCTTTGCTTTTGACGCTTGTTTTTGTATTGCATTTTTTTTTGGATATAAGTCTGTTGGAGCTCCACGCAAGTTTGCAGTTTCCCGCTCATTTTATTTCTGAACAACTGACTCGCTGACTAACTCGGTATAGCCAAACGTAAAAAAGAAAAAGAAATGAATAAGAAAAAATATAAAGAACGGGGCCCATTTCATTCCCATTCCATTGCGGGCAAATGCATTTGATTCCGTTCCCAATCGATTCCCCTGAACGTGGCCGCCGTTGCATTCCCATTCCCGAAAATGTGGAATGATTCCGGATTTTTGAAAATGTGGAATGATTACGGATTCGCCAAAATGTGGAATGATTCCGGATTTATTTCAACTCCGGAGTGGCAACTCCGCAACACTGGTTCAAGTTTCCAGACAGCTATAAAGGCGGCACTTCACCAATTTGTCTTCAATGGCACGGCGAGACCGACAACGTTTGACAAATCTTCGTTCTTTTTCGTACAGGACGTCCCCATATAAATCAGCGCTCGTTCCCTAGGCGTACAAACATCTGTGCGGGGTCTAGTCGGTAGCGTCACGTGTCGTGCGACGTCACACGTGAACGTTATGTGTTGTTTGAAATACCCGCGCGAGGTTATGTAGCGTGACGTCACAAGAGTGACGTCAGGACCCTATCGACTTCCTTAACTTAACGGAAAATGTTCCCGCAAAGCTTAGCGGAAGATTTTCACGCCAAATTTAGCGAAAAATTTTCCCAGAAAATTAAGCGGGAAACTAAACTTTTGTGACGACACAAGTGCCGTTACGCGTAACGTCAGTAGGTGCATGCCGAAATTTTGTGATCGCACCAACTCCGACGACGGATTAAATTAGAGACGAGATTCTAAATTTCATCGCATTAACGAAAAAAAAAAAAAAACACGTGTCACAAATAAGTTTTAAAAAAGGCGACTGTTTTCACCGCAATTCACCTCTAAGTCACGTCGCGGGGGTGGCATTTTGTGCGCGCACTTTTGATCGGGAGAGTGGTAGTCAAATGCCTGGCGGATCAGGGATTCCTATGCGGTTCTGGAAGAAGCATGCAGAAGAGTGCTTTCTCGTCAAAATGCTGCTGAATTGTCATTGGCATCCCACAGCGCCAATATTGACGTCCCTGCAAGACAATAACGCCCATATAAATTGTCCGGTCAGTCAAAGGTTTCAGTGAACTTTGCACTGCTGATTGCGGGTTGGTACGTGCTTATTCAAGCTTCATGATTACGGTACGAGCTCCAGTTAGCAAAGCTATGTTCTAGGGTATGATCTACAAAACGTTTGCGATATCTAATGTTGCTGACGATGCTCTTATCATATGTTTTTTTTCTGTTCGTATGGTAATATTGCTGAAAAAACAGCACGAATTAACGAGTGAGTGTGTTTAGTAGATTTATTAATGGCAAAGGTCTATACTTGGAAAGAGTCTACGCCGTGACGAGTGCAACGGCAGTGCTGCGTGGCTTTCGATTGTAGTCGTAGTGCGTAAGGGACTGGTGGAACCAGTCCAAATCACTCGGGAGGTGATACCGCATCGTCGTGGTGATGAGCATCACCGGCCGAGCCCGCTCCAGTGGATTACCCTGCGTTAAAGCAGCACATCAGGCACCCTGCTTGAGTGGCGTATACAGGAACTCAGGTTTCGTCAAAGACAGCCATTTTGAGTGTTCACGTTGAGTGTTTATTCGCCGAACCTCGCTCTAGCATGCGATGAGACAACAATTAACAGAGCTGTTGAGGACATGAATAATTACTTATGAAAACTGGTTTGGGTAAATTCGTTTAACACACCTAAGATAAATTAAAATACTTTCTATAAAACACAGCAAAAATTGTTGATATTTAATTTTTTTTTAATTATTTTCATACAGTTGAGGTTTATCAAGAATACTATAACGGTTATAGCCGCTGTAAATATATATTTTTGCTTTTAAGATTCAGACACGTTTTAAAGTTGCACCGAGGTAGTTATATGTAGTAAGAAGCACGTTGCGACTATAACGCTTTCCTTAAATTTTGCTCCCAAAATACCATTTTAAAACCTCTGTTTATAGAAGACGTTTCTCAATCTTGAGATGGGTGAACACAGTCTTACGCTTCTACACAGATAGCAAATTGTAAAATGTTCACTGGCAAAAGGAAATCTCTATAAGTTTGGCGCGCTTTAACCCTAGCAGTTATTTGTAAGAAACACCGGGTTTTTTACGTCAGTCTATGGAACATAAAATATCAAAAGGCTTCGCCCTTAGATACAGAAAAAAAATGCATGCACTTGCGCTGGGCTTAAAAGTTTTGTTTCACATTCAGCTCGTATATAAAAATGATATGGTCAAGCGTTGCTAAACTTATATTCAAGGACAATTTTACGGGACAATTTCGCCGAACTATGCCACGCTCCACACACAATGTTAGTGCCGGTTTAACTCATTCCCGCGAACTCTCCACTTTTTAATTGCCAGAGCAAGTTTGTCGCGAGTGCGGCCTAACATAAGCACCCTAAATTAATCGTAGTATTTTGATGCACTGAGATCCTATACCCGCATATCAATTGAACATGTTTTGATATACACTCAAAAAAAAGCCTGTGCGTCTGCTTTCCCGCACAACACTAGGAGAGCCAATCACCGCAACGTATGGAAGCAGATCAGCGTATGACGATGCCGGAACTTATGTTTAGACCAAAAAACGCTGTCTGAGTTGTGACATTAAGCAATGCTAGCGGGACGTTTTGCATTGCTTAATGTCACAACTCAGATCGCGTTTTTTGGTCTAAACATATCTTTCGGCATTGTCATTCGCTGAGCTGCCTCCGCAAGTTGAAGTGCTTGACTCTCCGAGTGCTGTGCGGGAAAGCAGACGCACGGGTATTTTTTTAGAGTGTAGCCTCCTTTCTAACGGAAAATCCTGAACTTTCCGTCAACCCATCCTAGGCAACAAAGTACAAAGTCGTAGTGCTGAATTTTCGCCATCACCCGAAAAAGGCAAACCCATTGGACACGTTTGCCGTGTCAGTGGTCGTCTATCTCGTGTTCAATCTGTGAGAAGGCGAGTTCCAGATCAACGCCAAAGCAGCACCCGTACCAAAGCAGTGTCCCGCGTTGGCCTTTTCTATGTGACGTCGAAGTTCACCACTATATGGCTAGGGATGTTACGAACCGCCGAGGTTAGAAAATCTTTTGAGTATCGAATTCCAGGAGTTCGCAAATTGCGATTCTCGCTGTGGTATGATATCGAAAAGTTCATGGATGTCTAGGTTTCTGAAAGATCGTATTTGAGAATTTTGATTTTGATTCATTACATATCAAGTTTGAAAATGTGTCTCAGAATGTCTTCGAAAATCAAGTTTGAAAAATTTGAAGTTTTAATTTTGTTTAGACTAAAAACGTCAACAAATTTGAAGGTTACTAATTTAAGTGAGAAGTCTTCGCATCTCATCGATGGAGATCGAATTCGGCCATATGGAATACATTTTAAGCGATTAAATACAAAATATTACATCTGCGAAAAAGTTCTCTGGAAACGTGGCACATTTTGTATGTCGTCAAGGCTCTTCAATCTTGTGTTTTTCGTACCTAAAGTACGACAAATGCTACTCTTTATTTTTTTGTAACTAAGAAAATCAACATTGAACTGGGAAACGAGTTCATCAAAATGTTTTGAAGAGGCCCGCTGAACGTCTTTCCCACCTCTGTTAACTGACAGCAATCTAATCGAACACCACATAAGCGCGACGTTGGCCAAGAAGCGGCAAAATATTCAGAAACCAAGGCATCCGGCATGCTTTATTTGCTCTGGGTATTTATTTTCAGTCAAATATACCACTGGTTGAAGAAACACTATGGAATACGTAGGCATAACAACCTAGACAGTTAAACATTAACGGGCCTGCAACCAGTTTGGACTGTGGGGGACCCCCAGTTATTAGAAAATGCAGCTAATCAGACTAACTACGAAAGAACGTGCATCAGGCGTTTCACATTGACTGTTTCTCGGATTTCTATGAATGCATGATGTTAGCCAATCTTGATCAGAGCTTACCACTCAATGAATGCTTAAGAAATCAAACTGAAAAAAGAAAGCGCTGAAGCAATTTTTTCCGTCGTGCGTCGGCTTCGCTCTCTGTGCGCGCCATTTCCTCGTCGTTTGCATGAGCCAGCCTCTTAGACAAGCGAATTGGGGTCGTTACGTTCAGATACAACTAAGGCTATGCATGAGCGCCGCCCGAGAGAAACGCCGCGTTTAGGTTTAAAACCTACAGACTAGGGATCGTTGGCAAGTATGTTATCCCGAAGCAAACTATGGAATTTTAAACAAAGGAACCCCGGCGAGAGAAGCCGGAGATAAATATCCCAGGTATGGTACACGAGTCCGAGGCGCCGAGGCCATTCCAAAGAGGAGTCGTTCGTGGCACCGGCTAATATCGTCTAGTGAAGCTTTCAGTGAAATTTTCACACCTTTCCACAGTGTAAACCTTTCAGTGTAAAGTTAGTTCTATCTTTCAGGAACTTTTATTGTAAGTTAGAAGTAGTTCCAACTATAGAACATCGCATATTCGAAAGTGGTATAATATTCAAATTTCTTAGCGTGATAGGTTTGGAGGTTGGAAAAAATGCCGACTTCCGAATTGCGGCAAATTAAAAACGTTCGGGTGTAGTATAATGTTTCAGCTTGAAATAATAGAAAATTCAAATATTAAGATTTTTTTTTTGTAACAGGCTGAAAAGCTACAAACGCTTCCAACCTTTTGAACCAGTCGGTTTGAGCATCGAATTTGATGATCGCAAAAACGTTTCCCTGCATCTTTAACTACGGCTTTGTTATCTTGGAGGCATTGCTCCCGCGCCGCAGCTGACTTTCAAAACTGGGAGGGTAAGAAGGAGCGTGGATCGATTGGATAGGTGGCACTGGTAACGCCCACAACGTCTATAAGAAAGGTAGCGCCAACTTCTTCCTTCTCCACTGGTACGCGTATTTTAGAGCGCAGCTCTTAGGCGCCCGTTTCCGGGTTGAGCGGCGTCGCCGTAACCGCGTGACGTTGCACGTGGCGTCACGAGGGGGACGAGTGACGTCCCGAAGGTCACCAGTGACATCACACGTGAGGTCGCGAGTGACATCATGAGGACCACGAATGAAGTCACGAGGGCCACGAATGACGTGACAACGGTAACCAGTGACGTCACGAGTGTCACGAATAACGTCAAAAAGGTCGCCAGTGACGTCACGAGTCACGTCATGAGGGTCACGAAGGTCACCAGTGGTGTCACGAGTAACGTTAGGAGGGTCACGAGTGACGTTAGGAGGGTCACGAGTGACGTCACGAGAGTCAAGTGTGACGTCACGAGAATCACGAATGGAGTCACTCTTGTGAAATCCCACGGGCATACCCTCCCCTCCCCTCCTCCTCCTCAAGAGCTGCGCTGTAATTTGGCATTACAGAAAATTGTAAACGTCTTTCATTTTTGTTTACTGCGAAAGCGTTACCAGTCCTATAGAGCGAACCGATTTCATCAGCTTTGAAGCCCCGCCAAACGTTGGGCAAACGGCACCTAAAACCCCTTTTCCCAGGTGAGACCGATTTCTGATGGATTACGCTGCAACTGGCTGGCAGGCCTCATCAGAGAACGAGGCTCCCATTGGATCTCGTACGGCGCAATTAAAAAAAAAAAAAAGCCATCAGAGAAGCCTTTTCTATGGCGGGGCAGCGGACTCAGCGGCCCCGCCGCCGGTAAAAGGAGGGAGTGGTGGCGGGGCAGCCAGAGCCCGCCCGGGGCAGGCTCCAGAGAGGCCGCGAGTCCGTGCTCAGCTGCCGAAAGCGCGCGCTCGGCCGTCCGCCGGCGACACGTGGCCTACCACGCTACTACGCTGCATACGAACTAAGGGAGCTGAAGAACGACATTCGTGCTTTCGCATTCACAACTTATAAGAAGTGCTTAGGTGCATTTTATCTTTATACTTATTCGTTCAAACTCGCGCGTCAATCCAGGCCCGTCTGCTCCGAAAAACAGCAGGTGGCCCTCCCATGCGCCTTTCAAGTGCGCTCCTTTCGGTTCTCTGCGCAGGCACGTGGGCAAAAGCAAGGCCCCTCACCCCCCCCCCCCCTCCCCCGATATTTTTCATTTTGCTGGGGCCTCCTTTGCCCCCTCCCCCTCATACAGCATTTTGTCATGGGCAGGCAGCCCCCCCCCCCCCCCCTCCCCCGAATCAAAATCCTGGCTACGTACCTGCCTCTGCGCACGGGGAATTCAGATGGGAAGGTAGAAGGGGAGGTTATGACTAAGCTCCCCCTCTCGACAGATGTGTTGTAAAGGGGGCGGGGTCGCAAATGTAGCAAGATATTGTAGCAACAATGTAGCTAGAATACGACACGTCCAACCGCAGTGCTGAAGATGCCTTCAGCACTGTGATCGGGCGTGTCGTATGCGAGCAATCCTAATTTCTGCAAGCGTTCTAAATGTGTTTTTTTTTTTTTTAAACTCAATAGCTTGCCCACTATGGGCTCCGTACCATCGGACCGATGGCATACACTCTTACGCTGGCTTGTACTCGCAACGTTTTCATCATTGACCTCCATCACGTCGATCCA